GTAAAAAGGTTATAATGTTCTCTTTTGTTGGACAACAAGTTTAGAAATGTGAATACAAGGGAAGTTTTGCTTTAGGCATTTTAATTTAAGCATGTTTAGCTAAGTTAACGGAAGGCTACCTGCTGCCATCAGAGCAAGTGTAATTGCTGCATTCATGCACTCCTCAGATGCTCCCATTTCCCAAGTTGTGCTTTTAAGCAGGGTGCGAATTACGCAGTGACCATCAGGGGGGTCAGAGCACTTTGGGGGGGTATATTTTATATTTTAAATAGGGCTGTCAAGTAATTGAATGTAATTACATAATGTGCCGATTAATTAATCAAATGAATCTCAAATTAATGAGATTAATTAATTAACATGTACATCATGTGCCGATTAAAGATAAAGTTATTATTAAAGATAATAGTTATCATTGTGTTAATTTAGAAAAAAAACACTGAATAGACATTACAAAAAGGTAGCTGAAATATAAGTATCTTTAGAAAGAAATATTTTAATTCAACATAAAAAATACATAAATAAATAAATAGTGAAATATTAAATTATTTGAAAAAAAAAACGATACTCTGAATATAAAACTAAATGCGCCAGTAGGTGGCGGCAAATCCCTGTCTTAAGTAAGTCATTCAATCATCCATTCAATTGATTTGTTCAAATGGCTGATTCATTCAGAAACTAAGTGAATTGAAGAGAAGTGAAGTGAAGTGACATGTGGCCAAGTATGGTGACCCATACTCGGAATTAGTGCTCTGCATTTATCCCATCCAAAGTGCACACACACAGCAGTGAACACACACCCGGAGCAGTGAGCATATTAATATTTATTAATTAATATATAATTATATATATAAGGCTATATAAATGCATATTAATATTTACAAGTAAATCTCCATATTATGCGTAGGCTGGCCTTCTTTCTATCTAACCCCCCCTACATCTAGTTTTGACGTCCATCAGGGGGGTTAAAGCCTTCTTTAGGGGGGTCAGCCCCCCCAACCCCCCCCAATCGATCGCTCAGGCATGGCACCGAAATGAGGCACCGAAATCTGCGTTCTGATTCGGTTTTAGTACATACTGGTTACATGGGTACCGGTGACATATTGGTACCGGATTTCGGTACCCAACCCTAATAATCAATATGTGTGAATACAATGCCAGTTAGTCATAAGCAGACTGGAATCAATGGCAGCTATGGAATTGCATCTTTTCAAGTGTTGGTTGTTGGTTGTTTTCTCTCAGCCTCATTCTCATAGAGTCCACCTTTAAACTGACGCTGCACAACATTTTTAGTTGCCCTCACAGTCAGTCAACATTACATGAATGGCTTTTCAATTACATCCTATTGGGTATCACCGCAAAGTTTAACGGTTTGTGATATAAAATGCTTATAAAGATTGATGGAGGGGAATTTATAACCTTAAGCCACTACCTGTCGGGCTCGCATAGGCGCACGAGCGTGTTTATTAGATACAGACTCTTCAATCTCGCTCTCGCTCTCTCTGTCAGCATGTATTGTGTCTGACTCAGTCAACCTTTCCTTTTTATTGCTGCTGGGTTGTGCTTCTTGTTTAAATAGCCAGATGCACGCTCATGAATAAATTAATGTTTACAAACCAGATTGGCTACCATAAAGGAAAGGTCATAGGAGGGTGTATGTGTTACTCTCCTTTTCAGTTCCTCACTCAAGTTCTGCTTGGCCTAATGCAACATTCTTAAGAGCAATGTTCTCATGTCCCGATTATCCTGCTGGAACCTACCTGGATTAGTGTTATTCCAACACTAAATCCGCAGCATGGCCTGCTGACCGTGGCTATGACTTTTGAGGTTGCAATTTTCACTAATCCAGGCCTCATATACTCTTCCTGGGTGCTAAACCTAACCATAAAACGTTAACCTAAACCACACAACTGGTTTAAGGCAACATCTGTTCTCCATGTCATTGTTGGCTCACATAAATAAAAATATATGACATCAATCTAACATAATAAAAGCCTTTATATTGTACAAATTACATGCTCTTATTTTAATCAAAAATAAATGTTTATATATATATATATACAGTGGGTACGGAAAGTATTCAGCCTAATCAAGTCCAATCAGTATAATCAAACACAGCTGGACTCAAATGAAGGTGTAGAACCATCTCAAGGATGATCAGAAGAAATGGACAGCACCTGAGTTAAATATATGAGTGTCACAGCAAAGGGTCTGAATACTTAGGACCATGTGATATTTCAGTTTTTCTTTTTTAATAAATCTGCAAAAATGTCAACAATTCTGTGTTTTTCTGTCAATATGGGGTGCTGTGTGTACATTAATGAGGAAAAAAAATTAACTTAAATGATTTTAGCAAATGGCTGCAATATAACAAAGAGTGAAAAATTGAAGGGGGTCTGAATACTTTCCGTACCCACTGTATAGAGAGAGAGAGAGAGAGAGAGAGAGAGAAAGAAAGAAAGAAACCCCTACAGGGCTTTCAATGTTAAACATACACTCATCAGATAACGTGGGCACACACACACCTGTATATACACACATGCACACCTCCTAAGCGACAACTGTGATGAAAAAGAGTGTTAAGTGGTGCTACGTAAGGGTGTGAGTGTCTCGAAAAAAGACAATATCTGAGGGTAATGTCTTAACGCAACCGCAGCCAATAGAGCTGTCATTCATCTGCGCTCTGTCTGACACCTCCTGACATGCAAATTGCTCTCGTCAGATGCTCTGACCAAATAAAATATTCATTCTCTTGTCTATTATCTGCCACATTACATTCGCTAATCATCTTGCCCGCCTTGGAAAAGTCGCAGCCCACCCTTCTCTCACTCACCTCTGACTGTCTGCTGACAAACGCATCTCAATCTCCATCAGTGAGCGGCCTGCATGACTTTCTCTGCCAACAAATTATTAGCATCAAATCTCCCGTCATCTGCAGGCTATTTGTGGTGTGCCAACATCATTTCCTGCCCGGCGTGGCGAAATCGATTGCGGGAGAGGGAAGCAGAAAAACCATTACATTTCCGCTCAAAAGCTGGATTCCCCACTCCACCCCCTTCCAAGTGCCCCATGGAAAGGAAACTAAAGATAAAGTTAGGGTACAAAAACTTGGGGTAAAAGTCATGGAGCCAAGTTAGTTTAGTGCTAATTGTGTTTATAGTGTACAGAGAGATGGATCTTTTTAAACTACACTGATTGTGAAAGTATTCAGCCTCTCATTACTTCTTGATACTGTAATTAGTGCTAATGAGCACAAATTGCACCATGTGCTTACAAGTGTGTGAGTGTGTGTTTGAAAGGAGAAGTCATGTAACGTGCTATAAGGCCAAAATAAAATAATAAAATAAAAATGATATCCAATGCAGCCACAGAGTTACCTCTGTGCATTGTAATGGGTGCTTAAAGTTTAAACAATTTAAACTTTAACCCTGTTTGACCTGTTAAAGCGTAGCCAATGATTACCAGACTGTTTGCATCATTACACGGGTGGTACCAGCATGGGAATTTAGACAGAGAAGAGTCTGATTCTCGAAAAAACAGTGATACCCAGGGCCTTCATGTCAATTTATGGAGCCAGATCAAAATGATATGAGGAACTTCCTATAGCATTGATGACCTTGGTGAGTCTCTTTCACCACGGGGCTAGGCACAATGTTCCTGGTTGACCACTATGGTGACGATGGTTCTGGTCACAATAGTCAAGTTTCCATCACCCGGCTTTTATGCACATTTTGAAGTATCGCATCAGAATCGAGAGATGGAAACGCTGAATTTCGAATAAAAATGCCTTAATTCACAAAAATGTTTTTACGCTTACTTGAGGTGGTTTTTGACTTGTGCAAAAAAGGGTTAATGCTAATAATGGGAGATGGAAATGCATTTTGCGAAGAAATTCCTCCAAGCGCATTAAAAAAGTCATGTGACTTTGCGCTATGGGACGGCAAATCTTGACTAACCAGCGGACCGATCTTGTTCCACAGCATCTGAAATGTTGTTATATGGTCATTCGGAAATGCCCGAGCAAAATCTGTCATCAAAGTATTTCTGTATAATTGCCTCCCAGAACTGTTAAACGACTGCGTTCCCAAACAGCAGCATCCACCTCCGAAAACAATAACCGCATACATTGTGTTTTGTCTGCTCGTTCTGAGGTGCAAGCAATTTATTATATAGGAAAATTATTATATTCAGTAGCTTCTCCTACTTTTCTTAGTGATGTATAGTGCCAGTTTATCAGGAAGTGATGATTTTGTTCTCTTTGACTCATTGGATGGAAACGGTGCTTGTTCGCAAATGTTTTGTGCGATATTCCAATTTTGCGCATAAGTTAAATTCGCAACTTTGGATGGAAACCCGGCTAATGTCAAAGGCATATCAACAAATCAGAGATCAAATTTCGTATTTTACACACACAAATTTAACAAATCATAAAATAATCCAAATCAGCTATTGCGATGCTATATGCCGTGCTCTTTATATGCAGGCCATGACCCTTGTGTTAAGAGGTGGGTTTGACATGAGTCATGAGAAGGAGCCTTCATTTCTTAGTAGCTATATTTATGACATAGACTACATACAGTACAACACCATTTCCCAAACCCTTAAAATGCATCTGTTGGAAATTGTGTTATTCCACCATATGGACCACCATAGAAACCCATCTGAGCAACTGTGTAACATTTTGATGATAGGTCTCTTTTCAGCTGGAGCTACATTACTCTAGCAAGCACTGCAAACCCAGCAATCTTTTTGGCCTCTCTGCTAATGTTTGACAAAGAGAGAGAACGACAGATAGAGAGCTAGAGAAAGAGCTACAGATGGCATGGAGTTCCTCCCTCAGATTATTTGGCCTCTCGCTAGTTCAAACCCAATAGCTCATGCTCGGTGTTGGCCCGCAGAGATCGGCGATTCCCCACATTTCCACTTCTCTGTTATACTTCCACACTAATTTCACTTCTAAACGTGCCAAATCACTCCAGTAAATCACACACATTCTCGCATGCACGCAGCGGTCATGCTCTGGGAACATATCATTTGGCATTTAGATATGAGAGCCCAAAAAACAGGCAAAAACAAACACATTTCAATGACTGTCATTATCATTTTACTGTTCAAAAGAGGGGAAGAACAGAGAAGTGGCGAAGCATTTGAAGTCTTTAAGCGGCTTAGGGGACCGTGGACAATGGTGTAAAATGTTGGGCTTTCTTCGAGGGGCGTTATTTACTCATTTCACGCTTTGTTGGTCACGACTGCAGGATTCGAAAGGCAGCGGGGCACAAAAGGCCGCATCGACGCAGGGCCGGCTAATCTAGAGGCTTGCTCGGTTTCACACAACAGGCTTAGTGCATAACGGCAGCCATGAACACCAGGGCCTCTATACAGCGGCCGGACAATCACCCACTTTTATGCAGCAGCCCTGCTTTTCAAAAGCCCGACCGGTATTGGGTCTTTGTCTGTACAAAAATCCCAGAGAAAATGTTTGGTTGAACTTAGCGGGGCTTTTAGCAGGCGACAGACAAAGAGGTTAGCATGTAGAGCTTGAGAAAGAGACTTAGCCAATGCAGAACAGTACCTCAGTTTCGGAGAATTAGACACTTCACTGTTTTGGGAAAGAAAAAAAATGAGTGATCCGAGTGATTGTTTTGGAATGCCAATGCTCTTGTCTAGGGTGACTCAAAAATGTCCCTGTTATTTCACCTTGCGAAGCATAATAATACCCTAATGTTCTAGGCATTCCACAGAAAGTTTTATCATAAAATGTTTAAACTAAATATAAAAACTATAATATAAAATAAGTATACATTATAAATGTAAAATAATATATAATTATATTTAATAACAATTCTATAAAATATTAAATTATTATAAATTACAAATTATTGTTTTGTAATCATATGGTGTCATTTCAATTGCATCTTTATTTTCCTTGTTAATTTTCATTGTTTCATTGTCACACATTATTTAAATGCATTACATAAGATGTAATGTAACAAATCAGTTGTATGACAGAGGATGATCAACCATGATCAAAATACACCCCCCCCCCCC